TTAATTTCAGCTCATGTCATGATCCATCATTGTGGGATCAAGCCACACATCAGGCTCTCCACTCAAGGTGAACCTGCTTAAGATTCTCTCTCCCGACTCTTGAATGCTGACAAAAACTGAGGACTGATGGATGTGTGTGGGGGGGGGGGATGGGCAAGGAGGAGGACACTTGTGGGGATGAGCACTGAGTGTTATGTGGAAACTAATTTGACAATAAACTATTTGTAAAAAAAAAAAAAAAAAAAAAAAAAAAAAGATTCTCTCTCCCTCTGACTCTCTCCCCTGCTCACTCCCTCTCTCTCATTAAAAAATAAAAACTTTAACAAATTTTTAAAAACTCCCAACAAACCAAAGTTTAAGACCAAATGGCTTCACAGGCAAATTCTACCAAACTTTAAAGAAGAGTTAATACCTATTCTTCTCAAACTATTCCAAAAGATACAAAAGGAATGAAAACTTCCAAATTTATTCTGTAAGGCCAGTTTTACTGATACCAAAACCAGATAAAGACCCCACAAGAAAAGAATTTACAGGCCAGTATCTCTGAAAAACACAGATGCAAAAATCCTCAACAAAATACTAGCAAACAGAATCCCACAATACATTAAAAACATCATTCATCATAATCAAGTGGGATTTACTCCTGGGATGTAAGGGTGATTCAATGGCAAAACAATCAACGTGATACATCCTGTTAGTAAGAGAAAGAATACAAACAGTATGATCATCTCAATAGATGGAGAAAAAGCCTTTGACAAAGTACAACATCCGTTCATGACAAAAACCTTTAACAAAGTAGGTTTAGAGGGAATATACATCAACGTAATAAAGGCAATATATGGCAAACCGACAGTTAACATCATCCTCTATGGGGAAAAATTGAGAGCCTTTCCCTTTTAAGTCAGCAACAACACTCTCATCACTTCCATTCAATATAGTACTAGAAGCCCTAGCCACAGCAATCTGACAACAAAAAGAAATAAAAGGCATCCAAATCAGTAAGGAAGAAATAAAACTCTCATTATTTGCAGATGACATGATACTGCAGAAAACCCTATACAGAAAACCCTAAGGACTCCACCAGAAAACTGCTACAACTGATATACTCATTCAGTAAAGTCACCGGATACAAAATCAATCTATAGAAATCTGTTGCATTTCTATAAAACAAGAATGAAGTGGCAGAAAAAGAAATTAAGAAACAATCCCATTTACAATTGCACCAAAAATAATAAGATAACAAGGAATAAACCTAACCGAAGAGGTAAAAGACCTGTATTCTCAAAATGATAAAACATTGATAAAGAAAAACTGAAGATGACACAAAAGGAAAGGCATTCCATGCCCATAGACTGGAAGAACTAATACTGTGAAAATGTCTATACCCAAAGCAATCTACACATTTACTGCAATCCCTATCAAAATACCATAGCAATTTTCACAGAATTGGAACAATCTTAAAATTAATATGGAACCACAAAATACCCCAAATAGAGCAATACAGAAAACAAAAAGCAAGCTGAAGGCATCCCAATTCCAGACATCAAGTTATATTATAAAGCTATAATAATCAAAGCAGTATGGTACTAGCAAAAAAATAAGAAATGTAGATCAATGAAACAGAATAGAAAGTCCAGAAATAAACCAATAATTATATGGTCAATTAATTTTTTTTTCTTAGTTTATTGTCATTTTTTTATCTTTTATTTTGCTTTATTTTTTTAATAGTTTATTGTCATGGTCAATTAATTTTTGACAAAGCAGGAAAGAACATCCAATGGGAAAAAGTTTCTTCAACAAATTATGTTGAGAAAACTGGACAGCTACATGCAAAAAGTAAAACTGGACCACTTTCTTTCACCATACACAAAAATAAATTAAAAATGGATTAAAGCCCTAAATGTAAGACTTGAAACTATAGAAGAGAGTACAAGTAGTAATCTCTCTGACATCAGCCATAGCAATTTTTCTAGACAGATTCTTTGAGGCAAGGGGAAACAAAAGAAAAATTAAACTACTGGGCCTTCATCAAAATAAAAAGCCTCTGCACAGCAGAGGAAACAATTGATAAAACTAAAGGCAGCCTATGGAATGAGAGAATATATTTGCAAATGACATATTTGATAAAGGGTTAGTATCCAAACTACATAAGAAAATGATACAACTCAATACCAAAGAAACAAATAATCCAATTTAAAAATGGGCAGAAATCACGAACAAATATTTCTCCAGAGAAGACATCCAGATGGCCAACAGACACATGAAAAGATGCTCAATATCACTCAATTCAGGGAAATGCAAATCAAAACTACAATGAGATATCACCTCACACCTGTAATAATAGCTAAAATTAACAATACAGGAAACAACAGATGTCGGCAAGTATGCTGAGGAAGGGGAACCCTCTTGCATTGATTGTAGGAATGCAAACTGGTACAGCCACTGTAGAAAACAGCATGGAGGTTCCTCAACAAGTTAAAAATAGAGGGGGTACCTGGGTAGCCCAGTCGTTGAAGGTGTCAGACTTCAGGTCAGGTCATGATTTCATGGCTTGCGAGTTTGAACCCTGCATGGGGTTCTTTGCTTACAGCTCCGAGTCTGGAGCCTGCTTTGGATTCCGAGTCTCCCTCTCTTTCTCTCTGTCCCTCCCCCAGAAATTAAGAAACAAAACAAATGAGCAAAAGGGGAAAAAAAAGAGAGACACGCAAACCAAGAAACAGACTCTTAATTATAGGGAACACACTAATAATGGTCATCAGAAGGGAAGTGAGCAGGGGGGAAATGTGAAATAGGTGATGGAGATTAAGGAGCACATGTGTCATGATGAGCAGAGAATGATTAACATAGAAACTTAAGAAAGAAGGAAAAGAATAAAAATATCTTTAAAAGAAGACTGTATCATCGTAAAAGCATGGATTTCAAGTCAGACCATACAAGCATTTGTAAGCTTTTACAAGAAACAAAGATGTTTTTTGAACATTTTTCTTACATGAAAAATAAGGAAGCTCTGGTTTAATGAAATAGACAATCTCAAAAATGTATATATTAAGGCAAACATTCTAGAAGGCAATTGACTATAAAGATCCAAAAACTTATATATATATAATTTGACCCAGAAATTCACTTATGATTTGCACTTATTCAATATCTTCTAGGAAATTAATAGGTTAAGCATGCCAACACGAATGTTCAAGAATATTCTCTACAGTAATGTGTATATTAGCAAAACACTACAAAAATCCTAAATGTCTAACAGCATAGGACTGATTGGTAAAATTATTATGCTACAACCATCCCTGGAAATACCATACAAACATTAAAAGAACATTAAAAAGAATGAGCACATTTATTTAGATAAAGACATTGATGATAGGCTATTGCGAAAAATACAGGTTACAAAGTAGGAGGACTAGAACTATCTCATCTGTATTTTAAAAAACATTAATCACACAAGAGAAAACACCCTTAAGTAATACACTAGAAAATGTTAAACAACTACTTGTACAAGCTGAAAATAAAGTTTTTCATATTTTGAGAAAAAAAACTAAAAGTAGTAAATCTACACAAAACAAATAGATAATTAAGAGTTGATTATATAAGTCCATGCATGCATGGACTTGCAAATATCTGCATATCTCATCTCAGTGCTCTAAACCCACATCTCAAGATTTGACCTCTGAAAGTTAACACTTCTTCAAAATTGTAATTTAGACTTTTAGGATTTCAAAGGCATTGAGGGACACCTGTGTCATCCCAACACAACCAGTACTATTCCAATACTGCTAAACAATTCATGTTTACTAGGCACCTGGGTGGTTCAATCACTTAACTGACTTTGGCTCAGGTCATGATCTCACAATTGATGGTTTGAGCCCCACATCAGGATCTGTGCTGACAGCTCAGAGCCTGGAGCCTGCTTTGGATTCTGGGTCTCCCTTTCTCTCTCTGCTCCTCCCCCCACCCCCCACGCTCTGTCTCTCTCTGTCTCTCAAAAATAAAGAAACATTAAAAAATGTTTTTTAAACAATTCATCTTTGGTTTGCTTCACAATTGTAAATAAATTACAATTCTGTAGTGCTATGCCGGGACTTGATTTTTGAGTTACTGCCTCCCACAAATAAAAACATTAAACCACTTCTATAATAAACTGGCTGAAGTTCATTTAAAAAAAAAATTTTTTTTTTAACCACAAAATGATGTCACTTCTTTAATAGCTTTAGAAAGGAGTGATCAATAGTGAGAGCCCCAGGAAGTGAGAGGGAAACATCAAATAGAATTATGCTGACATTTAGACATGTCTGACCCTTCTTTCCTACCAAGCATCTAAATTAAAATATTACAGGGGAAGAGGAACCTTAATACACAGTAAGAAAAGAGAACAACTTTAAGAATCATTTAAATTATCTAAGAATTCATAATAATTTAGTAATACTGAACTAAATATGAACTCCATATTAACTAAAAGACATTTAGATTTTGTGCACTGAGATTAAAATTACAAATGGGCTATGGTGTGCTGAATCATCTATAAGGAATGTTAAAGACACTGAAGAATTAAAAAAATTTGATTACTGGTAAGAAAAAAATTCTTGAAATAATTCAGAGGAAAACAAATACTGTATGATCTCACTTTTATGTGGAATCTAAAAGAAAACAGAATTCATAGAACTGAATGGTTTATTAAGGGTAGGGTAGAATGAAGGTGGTCAAAAAATACAAATTTCCAGGTATAAAATGAATAAATGGGGATCTAATGTACAGCAAGGCATCTATAATTAACAAAACTACATTGTATACTTCAAAATTGCTATAAAAGTAAATCTTAAAAGTTTTTATTACACACAAAAAGGTTAACTTTGTGAGGTGATAGATATGTTAACTAACCTTATTGTGTTGATGTCACAATATATATTAAATCTTCAGGTTATATACCTTAAGTTTACAGGCTATATGCCAATTATATCTCAACAAAGGTGGAGAAAAGAAAAAGAAGTACTTACCACTAAGTCCCAATTGTTTTGTTCAAGCAATGTAATAGCTTCATCAATGTTTTCAATGCCAGTACATGCCTGGAAACAAAGTAAGAATTTTAGATATGAGTTTGGGAATGGTGAGGTTAGTTAATTTTATAAAGGCAAACAGCATAATGTTTAAGTTTGAAAAGGTATATGAATAAAGCCAAGACACTAAATGCCTAACACCTCTCAGCATTTTATAAATATGGTTTGAAAATTAATTACAAAGTAAATTTGTACTGCACTGAAATAAAAGACAATAAAATAAAGCAATAACAGAAAGTATGTTTAAATGTTGAGCTTTAGAGCCCAGAATGATCTCGAGGTCTCTAACTGCCCAGAGCTTTTATTAAAAAGTTTCTGATGACAGCCATGTAAAAAGAACTTCAACCCATACCTTACACAAAATGTAACTCAAAATAAATAACAGATTTAAAGTAAAACCTAAAACTATTAAAACTTCTAGATCTATGCTCTTTGATATTGTAGCCACTAGACATACATGCATAAAGGAGCCCCTGAAATGTGACTCAACTGAGTTAAGATATTCTGTGTGAAATACACTTGAGGGTAGGAGTTAGTACAAAAATTAAAACGTAAATTCTTTATTTTTCAGGGGTGCCTGGGTGACTCAGTGTTTAAGCATCCAACTTCGGCTCATGAGTTCATGAGTTCAAGGCCCACATCAGGTTCTGCACTGACCGTGCAGAGCCTACTTGGAATTCTCTCTCCCTCCCTCCCTCTCTCTCTCTCTCTCCCCAACTGCACATGCATGCACTCACTCTCTCTCTCAAAAATAAATAAGGAAGCTTTTAAAAATTATTAAAAGAATTAATAATAATTTTTTCAGAGCACCTGGCTGGCTCAGTTGGTAAAGCATGCAACTCTTCATCTCGGGGTTGTAAATTCAAGCTCTACATTGAGTTTAGGGATTACTTAAAATCAAAATCTTTAAAAATAATAATTTTTCTATTAAATGTGTGTTGAGATGACCATTTTGGACATGCTGGCTTAATTTAAACATAATGTTTTTTAACGTTTATTTATTTAGGAGAGACTAAACTTGCACAAGCATAGAGCAGAGAGAAAGGGAGACAGAGAATCCCAAGCAGGCTCCACAATGTGAGCACAGAGCCCAATGGGGGGCTTGAACTCATGAACCATAAGATCATGACTTGAGTCAAAACCAAGAGTCAGACACTTAATCTAGGTGGCCCATTTTACTTTTTTAACATGGATACTAAAACCTTTTTAATTACATTTATGAATTTCATTCTAATTTTAGTGCTGAAAACATAGGAAGAAATCAAATCTTCATGAGCTTTAGATACAACAGCTAAAGTAAAACCCAAAAAACTGATAAAATGGACTTCATTAAAATAAAGAACAACTGTACTTTGAAAGACACTGTTAAGAGTATAAAGAGGCAGGCCAAACACAGGGAGAAAATATCTGCAAAACACACCTAATAAAGGATTAATAACCAAAATATAAGAAGAATTCTCAAAAATTATAAAAAAAATAATAAAGGGGCACATGGGTGGCTCAGCTGGCTGAGAATCCTAGTCTTGATTTTGGCTCAGGTCATGATCTTGGGTTTGGGGGTTCAAGCCCCGCACTAAGCTCTGTGCTGACAGTGCGGAGCCAGCTTAGGATTCTCTCTACTTCTCTGTCTACCCCTCCCCTGCTCATGTTCTGTCTCTCTTGCAAAATAAATAAATAAACATAATAAATAAATAAACGGATGGATAGATGGATGGCAAAAGATTTCAACAGAAACTTCCCCAAAGAAGATATACAAATACACCTGAAAAAATGCTCAACAGCATTAGTTAATAGGAATATGTAAAACAAACACAGAGATGCCACTTTGATACATTAGAGTGGCCAAAATCTAAAACACTAGCATAAAGTGATGGTGAGGATACAGAAGAACCAGAACTCTCACACTGTATTATATAAGAATCCCAAAATTACATGGTCACTTAGCAAAGATAGTTAGCAATTTCTTAGAAAGTTATGACACAGCAATCCCACTTCTTAGGTATTTATCTAAAAGAAATTAAAACTTATGTTCACATGAAAATTATACATGAATGTTTATAACAACTTTATTCATCACTAAAAACAGAAGACATCCCAAATGTCCTTCAATTGTACATTCATACAGTAGACAATTATTCGGCAACAAAAATAAACAAATTACTGATGACTCAAAACAATGGGGATAAATCTTCAAACGTGTTATGCTAAGCAAAGGCTAGGCTCAAAAGCTTACATACTGTATAATCCATTTACATGACATTTTAGAAAAGGCAGTTATAAGAACAGAAAACCTATGAATTATCAACAGAGCTTAGGGTAGGAAGAAGGGTTGACTACAAGTACCAAGAGGGAAATTTGCGGGGAACACATGGGTGACTCAATCGGTTAAGCATTCAACTTTGGCTCAGGTCATGATCTCACAGTTAGTAAGCTCGAGCCCCCCATCAGGCTCTATGCTGACAGCTGAGAACTTACAGCTCAGAGCATGGAGTTTGCTTCAGATTCTGTCTCCCTCCCTCTCTCTCTGCCCCTCCCACGCTTGTGCTCTGTCTCTGTCTCTCTCAAAACTTAATAAACATTTAAAAAATCGGGGTGGGGGGTGCCTGGGTGGCTAGGTCAGTTAAGCATCTGACTTCAGCTCAGGTCATGATCTTGTGATCTGTGAGTCTGAGCCACGCGTCAGGCCCTGTGCTGACAGCTCAGAGTCTAGATCCTGCTTCGGATTCTGTGTCTCCCACTCTCTCTGTCCCTTCCCCACTCATGCTCTATCTCTCTAACTCTCAAAAATGAATAAATGTTAAAAATAAATAAATAAAATTGAAAAATTGAAAAATTTTTTTAAAAAGAAGGAAATTTGGGGAGTAAAGGAACAATTTGATTCCTGGACACCATAAAAATGCAACAAAGGAAACAATAAAAAATGCAATCTTTATTTTAAGATGAATGAAAAACCAGGGATAATCCAAAGGCTCCAAAATACTAATAAAAGCAGCTAAGAACAGTTAAGATAGCGTAGAAGCTGCACAGGAAGAAGTGGAGAGAAAAACTGTAAGAGGTGCATAGTGAGCCCAACAGCAACAAATATCAGAAAGCACAAGCAAAATACACCTCCTCAATGACATCATCCTCCTTTCCCTCAGAAAAACATGTAGGTGATAGTTCCAAGAGCCAATCCCTCCATAGAAACACAAAAAATTGAACAAAAACTGTCAGAACCAACTATCTCAGAACTCTGGAAATTGGTCAAAGGTTTGTACAAACCAAACAAATGCTGAAACTTGAATAAGGTGACTTCAAAACAGTATGAAAGCTTTGCAATGTTTTTATTTCCCTTTCTCCACTCTTGGCTCTGTGGCAGTCTTGAATATACTAACCCACATTCCTACAGTTGAACTTTGGTCCCTGGTTCTAGAGGGAGCAGAGCAGACGCTGTTCTCAAAGAATTTGTATTTGTCTGCTGTGACCTGTGCAGGGCTACCTGAAGGACTGACTCAAGGCTCTCTCTGTTTTATCAACTCAAAAATCTCCTAGTACAGAAAGAGCTGCTATACAGAGGACATTATTCAGAAAATTTTAAGGCAAATGAAAAACTCACTTCCACTTGGGACAAAATATTCCGATTGAGGCAAATAACAGGCCTGCCAAAAACCTGGAAGAAAAAGATGGCAAGACAGTTTCTTTGGGAAATTAGGGCACTAAAAAATACTGGGAGTTTAGAAAGCCATGCACATGTCCAAGGCAAGACACCTACTCAGAGAAAACCTGAAAAAACTACGAACTCCTCTCTAGGCTCAGCACAAACAGGAAGTAAAGAGAGACTAGTAAACAGCCTGCTTAAGTATCAAACTGCTCCAGCACAGAGATAGCCTACAGAGGATAAGAAAGGATTTTCTTTCTTTTTCCTTTTTTTTTCTCTTTACTTTTTATTTTCTTTTTACTCTAGATATTCAAGGAAATCTCTCTCATACCATTAGCGGACCACATCTAAAGAAAAGATTTGAGATTCTTATGTACCAAATGTGTGTACCCCACTCCCACTGCCCACCAAAATTCAGATATTGAAGTCCTAAGCCCCACTGTGATGGCACTCAGTGATGGGGGCATTTGGGAGATTATCAGATTTCGATGAGATCATGAAGGTGGGGCTCTCATAATGGAATTAATGCCTCTTATAAGAAGAGACACCAAAGAGTTTGTGTGTGTGTGTGTGTGTGTGTGTGTGTGTCCCTGCCTCATCAGAACCAAGAGAGTAAGTGGCCATATGCAAGTCAGAAAGAGATCTCACCAGAAACTAACCATGCTGGCACCACTGATTTCATTCAGTCTTCAAAACTGTGAGAAAATATATCTGTTCTATGATATTTTGTCATGTTAGCCCAAGCAGATTAAGACAGAGACAATTTATCACCAAAATAATTCTAAAAATTGTTTAGAAAAGTCAGTGAACAGATAACAACCCACAGAAAGCAACAGAAATGAACCATAAGGAGAGGTAAAAATTTGTTTTTCAAAGTTATCACATTAAATACTTACAATAGTCACTTGTCAAAAAAGAAATTGTGATGTATACAGAGAAACAAGAAACTATGACTCACTCAAAGGAGAAACTAACAGAAACTGTCTGTGAGGAAGAACAGACATCAGATTTACTGGGCAAAGACTTTCAATCGTCATATTAAACATCCTCAAAGAGCTCAAAGAATCCATGAACAAAGAGCTAATAGGAACCAAAATGACAATGTGTCAACAAATAGAGACTATCAATAAAGGCATACAGATTATTTCAAAAAGAACCAAAGGAAAAACATCTGGGGCTGAAAAGTACAATAACTGAAATGAAAAATTAACTACAGGGTTTCAATAGCAACTCTGAGGAGGCAGAAGAAAGAATAGAGAACTTGAAGACAGGTCATATGCAATTATCCAATCTGCGGAATACAAACAAAAATGAAGAAAAATAAATGGAGCTGAAGAGATAAATGAGACCCACCAAATACACCAACCAACAC